TTGACATCAGTAACCGCAAAAAAAATGAAACAGATTCAAATGTTTGCGCCTGTACCAGTATGGCGTCATTTTCCATAGGGCAACACGCAATGAAGTATGGTACCTGTTACATCGGGGGGTCCCAACGGCTGGAAAGGGCGCATCTGGTAACTAGAGGCGCCCAAAGTGTTATTTTTTTTTAGTATTACGTTGGAACTATAGGCACTCTAGTTGAAACTATACTTCTACGGGACCAATTTAAACAGTATATATATTGAATTCCTAAGAAAAAGACAGAGTCGGGAAAAAGAGGGCTGCTCATTGTCAACTTGGGCGAGTGAGTGAAATTTTGAACTGAGTAACTAAAATTTGGGCAGAGGTAGTTGTTACTTACCGATGTTGACTTGACAGTCTTGCAACTCTAATAATGTATAGTGGGCAGTCTCGGAGTTTTCGATGTCGGTTGACATGACAAGATTTTCGTAAACTTCACTCGTCGTTTGGAAATACTAAAAAAAAGGATCAAATGAAACTGGATTAGGATTATAACTAGAAAAGGTACTAACTGTACTAAAAAATGAGTTGATAGAATGGGAAGAAACGTTTTTCTGTAAGTAATTTTCATTTTATTTAATCAAAACACGGTAGAATTTTTACGATCATTACAGATTTTATAAAAATCTAACGGTGGGATCTCTAACAGACTCACTATTAGATGCCTCTAATTAGAGTAATAATTATCAACCTATCTCAATCAATCTCAACTGTTTCGTCATTCTGTTTTTAACGGAGAGGAAGAAATATAACACATTTCCTCTAAGTATCTGATTCTTTCAATGCTTTCTCTTTTACGTCTCTAGATCCCGATAAGAGAACTTGAGTTTGCGCCTTTGAAATTCGAGTGATTGATCCTCATCACTGGCGGATCCAGTAATTTGGCAACATTGTTTTTCTCCATTTAAACAATGGAAATGTATCGATTCTCAGAGGGGCCAGGTGCTCCAACAAGAATCGATTGTTTAAAATGGATTTAAAAGAAGGAAATTCGATGTTGCCAAATTGCTGGATCCGCCTTTGCATTGCTTTGAATTCGCACCTGCACATTGCTCGTGCTGTAATTTAAGCATCAAATATAGCTCTGAAATAATACTTGCGTGGACTTACTTCAGCGACCAGCCTGAAAAACCTAGATGACGTGATGAGAATATTCCGTCTCCTCTCTAGTCGAGTTGCAAAACTTCTGCAGACGAAGTTCATGAAGTCTCTTTGGGCCTTTAAGTCTTCGGGGAGGGTTACTCCATTCTGCGCTAGAGTATCTATTTTATGTAGAAGCTCCGCAAAATGGCCGTACGTTTCCTGTAAAAAGAGTGAAGAGCCATTATGAGATTGATCTTGATTTTTTAAAAGAGGAAAAAAATTGAAAAAATGAAGTGCAATGGCAGGGGTCCTCCTCATTTTTCCCTACGTGAAACCTGCTTGGAAGGAGATAAAATTCTCTAAAATTCATACGAAATAAACTTTCATCCAGACAACTTTGGCCTATAATATGGAGGCTTGTAATTTTGATCGTTGCTGTTTGAAGAACTCCGCGCGTGACGCACTGCGAGAAAAGCTGAAAATACGATGAGTATTCAGGTGGAGTGTGACATTTGGCCTAACCATCACTTTGAAGGGACTTCTTTTTTCACGAGGTAGATTTTGTAATCAAGATAGTGCACCGGACTGCTGGTAAATTAATACTTCACGTCTTATACTCTGATTTTCTCCCTTTCTTTTCGAAGCATTGGAAAATCAATGTCTTTTTTGACTTTTATTTTAATGAATGTATTCATCCTTTATGCATAATGGTGTGCATTAATTTTCAAAACGTTTAGTCGCATGCAAAGTTTCTGTCGAACGATTCGCAGCGGCCATCCGTTGTTTTCATAATTGATACATTTAGAGTTTTTTAACATGAGGTCCGAGTAAATTTTTATACTAGCAAACAAAAGCAATGAAAGGTTAATAATCGTTTTGAACGATATCCACATACATTCTAACAGCATACAATTTTACTATAAATTCGTCATTTGGATGCGTGAACAGTATCTCACTTTATTTAATGACGTCTTGACGTCCCATTTTGCCTCCAGCGGCAAGTTACATAAGGGTGGATGCATTGCAGGTGGATGCAAAGTCACGCTTTCTTTCATAAGTATGAAACCCGAAAGTGATCATCTTTGAAAGAAAAAATGATCATCTCTCTATGTAGAAATCTCGATGTGGAGAATCATTTATTTTAAACTGATTCGAAACACCTGTGCAGAGTTGAGGGTAAATTTGCGGTTTGGATGACAGAGCTAGACGGAAGATACGGAGAGATGGTAACCTAATATGGGTTGAAAGGTTCTTTTATGTGGCTTACCCGACACTGGAGCTCGAGGGCCTCGTGGTCCCGGCGGAAATCCTCCGAAGAGGCGACGTCGTAGCCCACTTCCTGTTGAGTGTTGAGCATCGTCTCACCGGGTCCCAGAACCCAATCGGTCACCCGCCGAACACCCTCCTCAAGAGCATCTATCTCCTGTTATCAAAAATTTAAAAAAATCAGTTTCTTGCAATAAACCATACGCTTCAAATTGAGGTTTAATTTTTTTTTAAAAAAATGACCATATCAACGTAAGTGGGGTGTTCATCGGACATATGTATTCTACATATGATATGTACACATACATATGATAGATCAATGGGTCAGATCCTCTTCCATGTTACCAAAAATGGCGTCAACGCCCGTATTTTCGAAATATAGAATAATAGCTAAATTTCATCTTTTTATAGAAAGAAGTTATCTTTTTTCTACCTGATGTCCTTGTTGTGACGTTTTGTTTTTGTTAGACTGCGGCCGTTTCGGGAGATTTCCCATCTTTAGGTCTTCTTGATGAGTGACTTGGTGGTTGAAGATGGGAAATCTTCCGAAATGTCTATAGTCTAACAAAAACAAAACATCACAACCAGGACATCAGGGGGAAAAAAAGGTAACTTCTTTCCTTAAAAAATATAAACATGAGCCCTGACAAAAATGAACAACCTACGAGATTATAAAATTTCATCATTCTGTTCGTATTTAGAAAAAAAAAGATGAACAAGTATAAAGTAAAGAGAGGATTTTTATACAAATATCATTAAATATATGCTGAACTTACTTTGGCATTGAATATTTTCCTATGTAAATTGATCCATGCTTCCTCAACGAGAATCAATTTTTGTTCTATAATTTCTAGGAGTTTATTTACTCTATCTTTAGTATCGATTAGATCTTGCGGTAAAGTTTCTAGGTAAGCAAAATCCCGATCTATTCGTTCTAAAAGGCTTCGTCCTGCAACATAGAAATGGACAACGTTATTGGCTTATACTAGACTATTTCAAAAAGGGATTGATCCGTAGGGTACCCTAAGAAATAAAAATAAACTAAAATTTTCTGACTTTACATTTTAGCTGAGTAGGATTTTCCATTGAGAAAATTATTGTTCCNTTTATTATTGTTACTGCCCTCTTTAGAGGTGTAAATGGCCTTAGATGCTAAAGCACCGCTTTAAAATAAAATTATTTTACTACTACTATAAGCACCGCTTTAAAATAAAATTATTTTACTACTACTACTATTACTATTAGTAGTAGTAAAATAATTTAAATTTACATGGAAAGAAAAGAAAGAAAGAAAGAAAGAAAGAAAAGACAGAGAATTCCGTAATTCCTTTTTTTCTTTTTAGATAATTCTATTACCTAAGATTATTATGTTGTTTAATACCCTTTCTTTAAATTAATGCATGTAGATACATACAAGACTTATAGTTAACTTTTCCTCTCAACCCTTTTGTATTATTACTGATATTTCCATGTAAATTTATTATTGTTACTGCCCTCTTTAGAGGTGTAAATGGCCTTAGATGCTAAAGCACCGCTTTAAAATAAAATTATTTTACTACTACTACTTTCTTTCTTTCTTTTTTTCTTATCTCTCTAACCTTGATTTCCATGTAAACACACAGAAGTGTCATTGGCCTTAGATGCTAAAGCATCGCTTTAAAATAAACTTATCTTACTACTACTACTACTACTTTCTTTATTTTTTGGAGAAACTAATAATATAAGTTTACTAGTTTAGTCTCTTTGTTTTTTCATTCTCCCTTTCGCACTTCATTCACATTCTCATACCCGATGTATCGCATCATATTATTACAAATCAAACGGTAATGATAAATAGAACTTTACACTCCATATCGACGGTGTAAGTCGGCAATCACATACCTAACTTGGTTTGCGACGTCCCAGACTTTCTGTCATACTTTATTTTTTAAACGGCAATTCTTTAAAACTACCGTGATTTTTCTTCTCTGTGCGAAGAAAAATCTGCAAAAACTTCAAGGAATGATGTCAATTTTTTCTCCTTTAAAAAAATGACATAGAGACGGAGATTTTCAGACACCGCAAACGAGATATGTGATTGCGGACTTACGCCGTCGATATACTACTTTCAATTGGAAACGTTGATGAGTTAAAGGTCTCCAATTCTGTTCTTCAAGGAGTAAATGGAATTTGATAAAAAACGAACCTTTGCCGTTTCTTGGAATGCTTGAAGACGGTCTTTTTGCATTTGAATTTCGTAAATGTTTGATCCAACGTAGGAATGAGATTTGAGCAAAACGTGAAATAAGTCCTCCAACCACTGCACCGCCTGAAACAAACCCGCTGAATTATAGTAAGATTTCATTTGAAACATAATTAATTCCTATTAAGAAGGAGGGAGGAGCCACATTCTTTAAAACATTCTTGAAATTTTTGAGCGGTAATCCTTAGAAATTACTTAGCTTTACGCGGGTGCCCTTATACCCTTAATACCTCTTACGTAACTTACTGAAAACACGACAACCCTGCTAATGTATTAGCTCCCTATCTTTGCATGGAGAGTTTGTCTTGATGTAGAGGTGGACTCTCAGGGTAGGGTGGGATAGCCCCTCCATTTTGGCCTCAACTCGAGAGCTTTTTTTGAGCTTGGGAGTTAATATCAGAGGAAACCAGTAGCACTATCGTGTTTTTCGCGAACTTTTACATAAGGATCAACAGTCAAATCGCAAATTCCTCACACATGCAACATCTCCATTGTTTGCGATACAATATGCATTGATCTAGGAGATTTGTTGTCATTTGCTTGGAATATACCTGTGTGGCGTCATTTTCATAGTCGTGGATGTGGGTGACCTGCTGGAGGGTGAGTCTTTGGAGCTCGACGCTGTCCCTGAAGAGCTGCCTCCGAGCAGTCGTCATATCGAGAATCTCGCGCACGTTGATGATATCGCCCTCGTAGTCCACCTCCAACTCGCAGCCTAGGGCGTCTTTCACCGGCATCGATAGTAAATCCGAGAGCTTTTCGCCTTCTCGCACTATCTCGTTCTCCAGATTGTCTGCGGGAGGAGTGAAGTAAATGATAAAAATGAAGAAGAGAGAGAGAAAAAAAAAACACATACACACACACACAGTCGAAGCCAAACACTACGTCCCTTTCGGAAGCAAAATGACTATTTCAGAAGCAGTCACAAAGAGAATGTTTGGGATATGAATATTTAAACATTACGAGGCCCAAAAATTATGTAGCGGGGGAACTATAGGTACTTTAGTTGAAACTATACTTCTACAAGACCAATTTAAACAATATATTGAATTCCTAAGAAAAAGGCAGAGTCGGGAAAAAGAGGGCTGTTCATAGTCAATTTGGGCGAGCGAGAGAAATTTTGAACTAAGTAACTAAAATTTGGGCAGAGGTGGTTGTTACTTACCTATGTTGACTTGACAGTCTTGCAACTCTAATAATGTATAGTGGGCAGTCTCGGAGTTTTCGATGTCGGTTGACATGACAAGATTTTCGTAAATTTCACTAGTCGTTTGGAAATACTAAAAAAGGATTAAATGAAGCTGGATTAGGATTATAACTAGGAAAGGTACTAAAACTACTAGAAAATGAGTTGATAGAATGGGAAGAAACGTTTGTCTGTAATTTTCATTATATTTTATCAAAACACGGTAAAATTTGTAAAATATTTACGTTCATTACAGACTTTATAAAAATTTAACGGTGGGATCTCTAACAGACTCACTATTAGATGCTTCTAATTAGAATAATAATTCTCAACCAATCTCAATCAATCTCAACTGTTTCGTCATTCTGTTTTTAACGGAGAGGAATATACATAGCAGATTTCCTCTAAGTATCCGATTCTTTCAATGCTTTCTCTTTTACGTCTCTAGATCCCGATAAGATAACTTGAGTTTGCGCCTTTTAAATTCGAGTGATTGATCCTCATCACTGGCGGATCCAGCAATTTGGCAACATTGTTTTTCTCCATTTAAACCCATGGAAATGTATCGATTCTTAGAGGGGCCAGGCGCTCCGGCAAGAATCGATTATTTAATATCGATTTAAATGGAGGAAATCCGATGTTGTCAAATTGCTGGATCCGCCTTTGCATTGCTTTGAATTCACCTGCACATTGCTCGTGCTGTATTTAAGCATCAAGTAAAGCTCTGAAATAATACTTTCGTGGACTTACTTCAGCGACCAGCCTGAAAAACCTAGATGACGTAATGAGAATATTCCGCCTCCTCTCCAGTCGAGTTGCAAAACTTCTGCAGACGAAGTTCATGAAGTCTCTTTGGGCTTTTAAGTCTTCAGGAAGGGTTACTCCATTCTGCGCTAGAGTATCTATTTTATGTAGAAGCTCCGCAAAATGGCCGTACGTTTCCTGTAAAAAGAGTGAAGAGCCATTTTGAGATTGATCTTGATTTGTTAACAGTGGAAAAAAATTGAAAAAATGAAGTGCAATGTCAAGAATCCTCCTCATTTTCCCCTACGTAAAACCTACTTAGAAGGAAATGAAAATTCTCTGAAATTCTAACGAAATAAACTTTCATCCAGACAACTTTGACCTATAATATGGAGGCTTGTAATTCAACGTTTCTGGTTGAAGATCACCGCGTGACGCACTGTGAGAAAAGCTGAAAATACGATGGGATTCAGGTGGAGTGTGACATTTGGCCTAACCATCACTTTGAAGGCACTTCCTTTTTCACGAGGTAGATTTTGTAATCAAGATAGTGCACCGGACTGCTGGTAAATTAATACTTCACGTTTCATACTCTGATTTTCTCCCTCTCTTTTCGAAGCATTGGAAAATCAATGTCTTTTTTACTTTTATTTTAATGAATGTATTCATCCTTTATGCATAATGGTGTGCATTAATTTTCAAAACCTGGGCGCATGCAAAGTTTCTATTGAACGTTTCTGTCTAAACAACCTATTTCAACCAATGGAATCGCCTTATGTCTCCTTATGTATTCCTTATGTCCTCTTTGTCTAAAGCTTTGTCTATCAATTTCAACAATTAATCCGCTCAGCTAAAAATGACTGATTTTCGGGTTTCATACACTGGAAAAAAAGTCGCTTGGATCAAGAGTCTAGAGGCTTAATAACATTGACAAGAAAAAATACACTTGATTCAATCGGATTTTTCTTTGAATCGAAGAGCCAAGCTTCTTAATTTGAGCGGATTTCCTTCTGGCTCCAGCAAAAATCCGATTGAATCAAAAGTACTTTTTCTTGTCAATATTTTTAAGAGTCTGGACTCTTGACCAAGAGAATTTTTTTTCCAAGTATAAAACCCAAAAGTTGTCATCTTTGAAAGAAAAAATGATCATCTCTCTATGTAGAAATCTCGATTTGGAGAATCATTTATTTTAAACTGATTCGAAACACCTGTGCAGAGTTGAGGGTAAATTTGCGGTCTGGATGACAGAGTTAGACGGAAGATACGGAGAGATGGTAACCTAATATGGGTTGAAAGGTTCTTTTATGTGGCTTACCCGACACTGGAGCTCGAGGGCCTCGTGGTCCCGGCGGAAATCCTCCGAAGAGGCGACGTCGTAGCCCACTTCCTGTTGAGTGTTGAGCATCGTCTCACCGGGTCCCAGAACCCAATCGGTCACCCGCCGAACACCCTCCTCAAGAGCATCTATCTCCTGTTATCAAAAATTTAAAAAAATCAGTTTCTTGCAATAAACCATACGCTTCAAATTGAGGTTTAATTTTTTTTTAAAAAAATGACCATATCAACGTAAGTGGGGTGTTCATCGGACATATGTATTCTACATATGATATGTACACATACATATGATAGATCAATGGGTCAGATCCTCTTCCATGTTACCAAAAATGGCGTCAACGCCCGTATTTTCGAAATATAGAATAATAGCTAAATTTCATCTTTTTATAGAAAGAAGTTATCTTTTTTCTACCTGATGTCCTTGTTGTGACGTTTTGTTTTTGTTAGACTGCGGCCGTTTCGGGAGATTTCCCATCTTTAGGTCTTCTTGATGAGTGACTTGGTGGTTGAAGATGGGAAATCTTCCGAAATGTCTATAGTCTAACAAAAACAAAACATCACAACCAGGACATCAGGGGGAAAAAAAGGTAACTTCTTTCCTTAAAAAATATAAACATGAGCCCTGACAAAAATGAACAACCTACGAGATTATAAAATTTCATCATTCTGTTCGTATTTAGAAAAAAAAAGATGAACAAGTATAAAGTAAAGAGAGGATTTTTATACAAATATCATTAAATATATGCTGAACTTACTTTGGCATTGAATATTTTCCTATGTAAATTGATCCATGCTTCCTCAACGAGAATCAATTTTTGTTCTATAATTTCTAGGAGTTTATTTACTCTATCTTTAGTATCGATTAGATCTTGCGGTAAAGTTTCTAGGTAAGCAAAATCCCGATCTATTCGTTCTAAAAGGCTTCGTCCTGCAACATAGAAATGGACAACGTTATTGGCTTATACTAGACTATTTCAAAAAGGGATTGATCCGTAGGGTACCCTAAGAAATAAAAATAAACTAAAATTTTCTGACTTTACATTTTAGCTGAGTAGGATTTTCCATTGAGAAAATTATTGTTCCCGTGCACGTTGCTGCACAAGTGTGCTATTCAATAACGCTCAAGAAAATTCTGACGTTAAAAAGCGTCGATTGTTGATGCGCGCAGGCTGTAATAACTATTAAAGCGCAGAGAAGGCGCAAAACGCGATGGTGATCAACACTGAGTCAGCCAAAACATTCATAGTTAACAGTTGCTGGACCTCCCGACATGGAGTTTTTTGTGTTGAAGTTGAATTTTTGTGCAATAATTTTTGTGCAACAATTTGACACCTATGTTTGTGAAAAGGTAAAAGAAATCCCGCGATTCTGTTTCTGGCTTTTGGCTGCAGCATTGCCATTAAAATATGAAAAAAATCTTTGAAGTTACCCGCCTGTGACGATTTTGCAAGTTGACAACACTGTTTTTTCTTCATTTATCTCCACTAAATATATCGACTCTAGATATTCGATCGACTATTTAGGAATCGATTTTTTACATAAATTTGAATGGAGGAATAACAGTGTCGCCGACTTACAAGAAAAATCATTGATTTTATCCACACGGATCATGATACAAGACATTTTTTATTCGGCCGTCTGTTCGCCATGTGAGCATTTACATTTTAATATTCGAGTAAAAAATGTAGATCGTATTGAATAAACTCTTTGAAAATGCGTTTAACAGCAATTTGGCATTATTGTTCGTCTTAAACATGCAAATTGTTGACCCACATCCGATATCTGATCTCTCTGTCGCGAATCTGGGCGGGTGATCAATCTCCAAAGAAATTCAGACGTCTGTCTGCAGGGATTTGCCTCACGACTCGATCAGGCCTGTCAAATTCGTCTCCCTCCTGACATAAGGGCGTAACCACGCCCTGTAATGAACCCTGTCTACCATACAATTCAATGCTTTTCCGGGCTCATCTCAATAAACAGCAACGCCCTTTTGTCAGCCGGAGGACGAATTTATTGAGGAAAAAGACTGCAATGCGGAAGTAATTTTTTAGAGTGCAGCCAGTGGCATTGCCTGTAGTCTGCTCAACATGGTATTAGTGGCAGAAGGCAAAACATGTTGATTCCCTAGAATAAATGAATGCGCAAGTCTCATAGTATTTCATTCACATTTATCGGACAAGCTATCAAAATTATGTTGGCTAAAGTTGAAAAATGCTCCAAAAGTTGACTCTGGCATTGCTGCCATTTTACTTTGCCGGGATCAATTCTGATTTCCCAAAATTACGAGAAAAAAGTTCCGATTTTTTCAAAAGTCCCGGGAAAAAATTCCGGAGTACACCCGGATTTTAAAAACGTCAAATTTGATTAAAAAAAAAAAAAAAAAAAAAAAAAAAAAAAAAAATCGGATTTGCTCAAATTAGCGGTCAAACTGTCAGAAATCCCCAAAATTCAAAGAAAATTTCGAAAATAACTGAAAATTCTGGGAAACTTGAAATTAATTCCGGGAGACAGCAGCCTTGGACTCCACCACAGATTTCACTCCAAAAAAGGGCAGGGACCCTTCCGGTACATGATTCAGGTCATGAAAAGAAAATGTAAAGCAGGGAATTTGTGGCATACTTGTTTCGAAAACTCACCCTGGTGTAGGGCCTTAGCAGCGAGATCTTTGGCGAAACAGTAGAGGTCGGCGCTTATGGACAGAGAGGCCTCGGCTGTGCTGAGTCGCAGAGCATCTTTGTCTCCCCCGAGCCTCAGGCGAAGGCGCTCCAATTCGGCGACGGCATTCTCTGCATCCTTCACGAACACCTCCACGTGCTGCAGCAAAAAATCAATTTGATTTGCAATTTTAAAACACTCAAAGCGAGATTCCCAATAAAAAATACAAAATTATTGTTTGCACTGATAAAATAGTTATTTCCCTCACAAAAAACGTAAGCACAAATCAATGTTCCCAAATTTCCCCTCGCAAATTGCGTTTTTACCAGGAGAATCTCGGACATTTATGGCAGGAAATAAATACAATAAAAATGCAACGTTACTGTTTTCACTGATAAAAATGTCATTTTCCTTACAAAAACCGTTAGCGCATATCGATGTTCTCAAACCCCTCGCAAATTGCATTTTTATCAAAGGAATCTCGGGCATTTTTGGCTGAAAATTTCTCAGATTTTTCTTCTGATCCCATGAAAAAATCAGCGAATTTTTGGATATAAATTGCACAGATAAATTCTCGTAAAAAATTGAACTGTTTGAGGAAATTTTGTAACCTTGGAATGGAGTTACATTCCTTAGTCCGGATCACGAATAAATGGACTGTAATTTGCGATGTGAAACTACAATTTCTGGCGCAGTTTAAAAACAACGTATGCACCATTAATTTCCGTATGCACATACGTGTTCTTACAGATAAACCAGAAATCGTAATTTCGAATTACGAAATGTAGTCAAAATATCTCTCTTGATTAGAGGTTTCGAGTATTGAGAGTCAAAACACTCGTAGTGATAGTATTACTTTTATTCACTATTTTTAGGAATAGTATCTTCCTTTTATTCAGGAGACCATCGTATTTCAGAGATTTGTCAGATCAAGCGAACCGGTTGGAGAAAAAGTCAATTTAAGGGACGACAGAGTTTTTAAATATCTAGTTAGCCACAATCCACCTCCAGGCGCGTGACTCTCAGTGGAGCAAAACCGCACGTCCGAATAAAAACTCCGGAGACTTAAACGACCGGTTAGGAAAAATGAACACACTTCACTAGATCTTGTGAAGTTTAGAAACAGCTCGTCAGCGTGTCCTGAGCTAATGAGTAAGAGTTATGCGTCTTAAAGCTCTCTTATAATCGGCTACCACTAGATTAGTATCCGAAAATGTCTAAAAATGAACCGCGGTTGGATCCCATGGCTGGTCTCCAAGTTTCAATCATACGGTTCATTTTTTCAGGCTGTTTATCGAAAATGTTTGACGAATCATATGAAAAGCATCTGTAAATTCAGACATCATTTGCAAACTGATTTTTAAAATAATTCTGAAAACGCAGCTTGAGCTTGGCTACGAAGATACTCATAGAGAAAAAAGATGTATAACTTTGATAGTTTTGGCAAAGTCTGAAAAAAACTCAGTCTCGACTGACTTCAACTTTTCAACGCAAATTTTGCCCATTCGTCCAATATTTTAAAAGATGATATCCAAGATTTTCAAGATTCAAGATTCTCGAAATCACTACAGGTTAATTTTTAGCGACTGACGGCTAGGAACCTTCAGCACATCCATGTCATACGAATCAGTTGTTTTCAAAAGGGGACAGGTCCATTTCTTGATAAGTTTCAATTAAGTAGCATGTCCTTTAATGCAACTCAATAAGGATCTTGCAAAAATGGACTTGTTCCTTTTCGAAAACAACCGATTCATATAAACATGTTAAAAATCGCGCTCATGAGTGAAATTACTCCGATGTATAAGGAACTTTTAGAACACCCTATACATACATTAAGTGTTCATCTACATATCAACTTATCTAAATTAAGATCTGCTTAACCCGGAAACATTAATATTTTATAGTGGTCTATTTTGTAGATGTTATGAGCCGCGGTATGACATTCGGTGGAATTTAATCGGATAGACTGCTCGCCATAATGTGAGCAGTGACGAACACGAGAAGATAATACCACGAATTTGGGAAGGAGGGGGATTCGATTCGAAGCTGAGTTTATGGTGTTGTCATGATGCAGTCACAATATTTTATCGAAACCATTCTGAAATGATGGACAGTCTTCAGTGAGCCATAGGATCTGTTTTAGGTCTTATATCTGAGTTTCAAAACTTTTTAAAATATTAAACCCACTTTCCTTCTTTTGTTTGATCCCCCCAATTAACATATTTAATTGGTAAATGCAAAAATATGGATCGAATCATCATAGAAAAATTCTAATATTGAAGGAATAGTCAATTTTATCGGAGCTCAAGACTTAAGGCATCAGATCTGTGACTTGGGTTACTTAACGGCTGAAAGGTGTATCCCTTCGTGGCCTTAGTACTCTCTATTTCGACTGCCAAAAAGTGCGAACCCACGCATCTCCATTTCCGACTTACAGACTTCCTGTCACGTTTTATTTCTCCTTCAGAAAACTAACCAACGTAATCATTTGAAAACTTCCTTGATTTTTCCTCTCTGACACCAGAATATTCTGTAAAAAATTTAAGTCATACATTTGACTTGTTTCTCAACGAAAGAATGGAACAGGTGCGGAGATTTTGAAACACCGCAATAGAGATAGATACGTAGTTTTCCATTTAAGCCATCGATATTGAATTGTCTTAAACAGAAAGGAACCAACCCACATCAGCTATTGCCATATTTAACTGGGCAATTTAATTTTTTACAAGAGAACGTTTGTACGGATTTTAAGGGATTCGCTTCGAACTATGCAGGAAACTCGCTGAAATCCGCGCAAAAACCCGCACAACCGTTTTCATGTAAAAAATCAAATTGCATAATTAAATTTGGCAATAGCTGATGTGGCTTGGTTCCTTTCTGCTTCACGCGGTCCATATCTCTCTATTTCCTGCATAATGGAGATGTTGCATGTGTGAAGAATTAGCGATTTGACTGTTGATTCTTAGGTATAAGTTCGCGAGAAACACGATGGTGCCATTGGTTTTCTCTGAAATCAACTCCCAAGCACAAAAAAAGCTCTCAAAGGGAGGCCAAAATGGAGGGAATATCCCACGCTATCCTGAGAGCCCACCTCTACATCAAGACAAACTCTCCATGCAAAGATAGGGAGTGAATACAGTAGCAGGGTTGCCACTTTATTTGGGGACTCCAAAGCTGAAAACACGGCAACCCTGCTAATGTATTTGCTCCCTATCTTTGCATGGAGGCGTTTGTCTTGATGTAGACGTGGACTCTCAGGGTAGGGTGGGCTATCCCCTCCATTTTGACCTTAAATTGAGAGCTTTTTTGAGGTTGGGAGTTAATTTCAGAGAAAACCAGTGGCACCATCGTGTTTCCTGCGAACTTTAAAATAAGAACCAGCAGTCAAATCGCAAATTCCTCACACATGCAACATCTCCATTAAATTTGGCAATAGCTGATGTGGCTTGGTTCCTTTCTGCTACACGCGGTCCATATCTCTATATCCTGCATAATTCCTTGTGCAAGAAGGACGTTTGGCGTGGATGCAACTCTGGATTCCTCCTGGATTGCCTCAGGTACGAATGCTGGAGCTCAATAGGCCGATTCATTTGCGTCGGAATCACGATCGGGATGGGACTCAATTGTTGCCAGTGAGCCGGGCTGGCCGGGCAGCGGAAGATCAAAACAATCGCGATAAAAAGAATCAATCTACATACTGATTCCAGTTGAATGACCCAGGCCATGCTCCATACTGCTCGAGCGTAATCTCTTACGACTCCGGATTATGGCTTCTATAACGCTCGAAATGCGAGGAGACGCTGCGTACATGGACGTGTTCGTGCTAAAAGGAACTATGCGCATAGGATCTGAGTGCAACATAGTTCTTTTTAGCAAAGGTAAGTGGGCAATTCTACGAAAACCGTCCAATTCCAGTCATGATCGTTTTATTTGTAAAAGTTGTGATAAAAAGTCTCAAATATCACCAAATATGATGGGAAATGAGTGTTCTTAACGAATTATAACCGTAGCGTAATCTCTTACCCTAGTAGCAGAGTTATATAAAAAAGTTGTTTTTAAAAGTATAAACCGTAAATAACCACAAGCTAAAGAATATGCATTGTTTATGTAATGGATGTAAAGTTTTTTAGTTAAAAGTTTACATTTTCAATACGCTTTTTATGNTTCTATCACGCTCGAAATGCGAGGAGACGCTGCGTACATGGACGTGTTTGTGCTAAAAGGAACTATGCGCATAGGATTTGAGTGCAACATAGTTCTTTTTAGCATAAATATACGTTCAAAAGATCACACCGTGTTGCGAGTTCAGAGCAAAGAGCCTTGGACGGAGTTTACAAGAATTGAGGGGCATGGAGGACAAGACGCATAAGTGCTATTTTTGCTATTTCGAGAACTAAGTGTTTGAAGTTTCGAAAGTGCATATATTCTTATGGTTGAAAGAAAGTTCAAACTGACTTTTTGATACATACAAATTGAAATTTGGACTTGAATGTTTCACAGAATATGAATTAAGACTAGTTTTACTTGAAATCACTAAATTTCAATTTTTTCAAAAACTGCACTTATGCGCTTTGTTATCCAAACTCCTGCTCATTCATTTCAGGTCTAATCCGCATAGCATATGTGATTCAGACTTAATCCTCATGGGGTCTGAGCATTTAAATCTATCTAGCTGGGTGTTCTGGGTGGAACCAACCAATGTATCGAGCGGCGTAGTTACTGAATCACTCTATAGATTGATCTAGTGGCTACGTCATTTGATATAATATCAAACTCTTGGTTCAAATGTAAATAAACAAGAACCTTGTTTCTCATCGCGCCCATTTGTACCCTTTGCACCAAGGTGGTAAAATGTGTCTAAATTGTTCCTTGCAATTGAGAGTTCTCGTGTTTGAAGAGTTTTTAGGTAATTGATTTATGACCGGACAATGGCTAAATTGTAATAAATTGACTCATGAAGAGCTCGTACATGAGGTTCACTGAAAAAAAAAAGAATCTTTTTGCCGCCAAAAAGTATTTCTTCTTAAATCAAGCATTTTTCTGGTTAATATAAGCTTCTTTTTTGTTTAACTCGAACATCATTTTTCTTGTATCAAGAAAAAGTCACCTTAAAGCAAGATAAAAAAAAAAATTCTCGGCGGCAAATTCAAAAATCATCA